GGGGAGGGAGAGGGCGGGGGCGGGCGAGAGCCCCTCCGGGCTCCACCTGTGAGCCAGAGTAGAGGGCAAAATTGCTTGTTTGTCCAGTGTCCCGACCGAACATCGGTCGGGACGCGGGACAAACAAGCAAATATCAGGACAGTCCCGATAAAATCGGGATGTCTGGTCACTCTAGTACTTTGATATAACTACATAGCTCAGTAGTGTGAAAAATCCACACCCTGAGCGATGTAGTTATACCGACATTAATCCCCCATGTAGACAGCAATATGTCGGCGTGACAGCCTCTCCTGCCAACATAGCTACTGCCTCTCATGGAGGTGGAGATGTTAAGCTTCTCTCTCCCAGAAGCTTGAGTGTCTTCACCAGATGTGCAACAGCAGCGTGTAGACCTGCCCTTATTTTCCCAGACCTGAAGAAGAACACTACGTAAGCTCAAAAGCTTGTCTCCCTCACTAACAGAAGTTGGTCCAATAAAAGATATTACCTCACCCGCCTTGTCTCTCTAGAAAAAAATGAAATTATTTAAAAATATAGAGAAACTGATTTGGAGAACGATAGAAATAAGTGTTGCAGAAGCACATAAATTAAGGGCAAAATAAAATTTAACATTAGATTGCAGAAAATATTTTAATTAACAAGAAGCTATTTTTCCCCAAATATGTTCAAATTGCACAAAAAGCATAGAAACTAAAAATTTCCACACAAAAATGAGAGCATAGAGTTTAAATCATGCAGATGATAATGAAACAAAATTTTGAAGAAATTGGTCATGAAAATTAATCTGAAGGTGAGCATTTGAAAGTGAGATACTAGAGCACATAGTATGTTTTCCATGGGGTGCAGAGGACTCTCATATGTGGGCCATCTGAAAGGGATGAATTTCACCCATAGTATATAAATGATTTCAAGAACCTTATGATGAAAGACTTGATGAAGGCAGAACTGAAAATAACAAAGTGGCCAAGTATCTAAACAGATGGAATTTTCATGTTCCTAAAATGCTGGTTTCAAACAAACAAACGCCGCCGACCCACCCCCCACCTTTTTGTTTCTCTTTTTATAACTTTTTTATTTATAGGCTGCAAACTCTGAAAACGTTTCAAGAGTCCATGTATGCCCGAATAGAGACAGTAGTTAATAAACTAGTCATTTATGCACCTAAAATAATATTCGAAAATAATTTTTAACATTTGTGAAGTAAGGAATATGAAGAGTCAAGATTTTTTTGTTCAGTGATCAGTTTAAAAGATAGCAGCTGGCTTGTGCTGACATTTGAAAAAGATATTCTTTGTTTGCATGAGTAAAACTGAGTTCTTGTATGTTCCTTAATATTTTTGTCAGATGCCATTAAAGGATATGAAAACTGCTAGTACATATGCATCAGTTGAAGCTGTTGGGACCCCTTAAGCATGCTATTGCATTTTCAACAGTATTAGACATGTAATTATGGGTTTAGGCGAAATGGATATATTTGCGTACACAAGTAATTATGCTTTATTAGAAAGTACTCTTTAATGCTTTGATCTCTAATTCCTTCAACTCAAATACTTGAGGGATCTATTTGATATTAAAATAATTTATTAAATGGTGGCACAAAGCAGAGGGAGAGGTGTTTTACTGAGCAAAGAGGTGGTTTGCAGTTGAATGAAATATTGGTGGTATTTTGAATGTGCAACTCAGTTAACAGGAATAACAATTGCTTAAGCTAGAGTGGCTTAATTTCCAATGTTCTACAAGGAAAATCCAATCATAATAGAGGTCTGATTTTAATATTTCAGATGTTACTTTTAGCACTCGTACATTTTGTTGTGTAACATGCAGCTGTAAATGTATTTTTTATGAAAATAGTAGGGCTCTCAAGCGATTAAAAAAATAATCGCGATTAATCACACGATTAGAAAACTTAATCACAATTAATCGTGCTGTTAAACAATAATAGAATACCATTTATTTAAATATTTTTGATATTTTCTTCATTTTCAAATATATTGATTTCAATTACAACACAGAATACAAAGTATACAATGCTCACTTATATTTATTTTTTATTACAAATATTTGCACTGTAAAAAACAAAATAAATAACATTTTTCAGTTCACCTAATACAAGTACTATGGTGCAAGCTCTTTATCAAGAAAGTTGAACTTACAAATGTAGAATTATATACAAAAAAAACCTGCATTCAAAAATAAAACAATGTATAACTTTAGAGCCTACAAGTCATAGACTCATAGACTTTAAGGTCAGACGGGACCATTATGATCTTCTAGTCTGACCTCCTGACCTATGTCTGAACTATTGAAGTCCTCAACTTGTGGTTTAAGGACTTCAAGGTGCAGAGAATCCTCCAACAAGTGACCCATGCCCCACGCTGCAGAGGAAGGCGAAAACCCCCCCAGGGCCTCTGCCAATCTGCCCTGGAGGAAAATTCCTTCCTGACCCCAAATATGGCGATCAGCTAAACCTGAGCATGTGAGCAAGACTCACCAGCTAGACACCCAGGAAAGAATTCTCTGTAGTAACTCAGATCCCACCCTATCTAGTGTCCCATCACAGGCCATTGTGCATATTTACCGCTAATAATCAAAGATCAATTAATTGCCAAAATTAAGCTATCCCATCATACCATCCCTTCCATAAACTTATCAAGCTTAGTCTTGAAGCCAGATATGTCTTTTGCCTCCACTGCTCCCCTTGGAGGGCTATTCCAGAACTTCACTCCTCTGATGGTTAGAAACCTTTGTCTAATTTCAAGTCTAAACTTCCTGATGGCCAGTTTATATCCATTTGTTCTTGTGTCCACATTGGTACTGAGCTTAAATAATTCCTCTCCCTCCCTGGTATTTATCCCTCTGATATATTTATAGAGAGCAATCATATCTCCCCTCAGTCTTCTTTCGGTTAGGCTAAACAAGCCAAGCTCTTTGAATCTCCTTTCATAAGACAGGTTTTCCATTCCTCCTAGTAGCAGTTCTCTGTACCTGTTCCAGTTTGAATTCATCCTTAAACATGGGAGACCAGAACTGCACGCAATATTCCAGATGAGGTCTCACCAGTGACTTGTATAACGGTACTAACACCTCCTTATCTCTACTGGAAATACCTTGCCTGATGCATCCCAAGACTACATTAGCTTTTTTCACAGCCATATCACATTGGTGGCTCATAGTCATCCTGTGATCAACCAATACTCTGAGGTCCTTCTCCTCCTCTGTTACTTCCAACTGATGCGTCCCCAGTTTATAACAAAAATTCTTGTTATTAATCCCTAAATGCATGACCTTGCACTTTTCACTATTAAATTTTATCCTATTACTATTACTCCAGTTTACAAGGTCATCCAGATCTTGCTGTAGGATATCCCGGTCCCTCTCTGTATTGGCAATACCTTCCAGCTTTGTGTCATCCGCAGACTTTATTAGCACATTCCCACTTTTTGTGCCAAGGTCAGTAATAAAAAGATTAAACAAGATTGGTTCCAAAACCGATCCCTGAGGAACTCCACTAGTAACCTCCTTCCAGCCTGACAGTTCACCTTTCAGTATGAGTTGCAGTCTCCCCTTTAACCAGTTCTTTATCCACCTTTCAATTTTCATATTGATTCCCATCTTTTCCAATTTAGCTAATAATTCCCCATGTGGAACCATATCAAATGCCTTACTGAAATCGAGGTAAATTAGATCCACTGCGTTTCCTTTGTCTAAAAAATCTGTTACCTTCTCAAAGAAGGAGATCAGGTTGGTTTGGCACGATCTACCTTTTGTAAAACCATGTTGTATTTTGCCCCAATTACCATTGACCTCAATGTCCTTAACTACTTTCTCCTTAAATTTTTTTCCCAAGACCTTGCATACTACTGATGTCAAACTAACAGGCCTGTAGTTACCCAGATCACTTTTTTTTCCTTTCCTGAAAATAGGAACTAGGTTAGCAATTCTCCAGTCATACAGTACAACCCCTGAGTTTACAGATTCATTAAAAATTCTTCCAAATGGGCTTGCAATTTCATGTGCCAGTTCCTTTAATATTCTTGAAGATTATCTGGAACCCCCGATTTAGTCCCATTAAGCTGGTCGAGTTTGGCTTCTACCTCGGATGTGGTAATATCTACCTCCATATCCTCATTCCCATTTGTTATCCTACCATTATCCTTAAGCTCCTCATTAGCCTCATTAAAGACTGAGGCAAAGCATTTGTTTAGATATTGGGCCATGCCTAAATTATCCTTAACCTCCACTCCATCCTCAGTGTTTAGCGGTCCCACTTCTCCTTGCTTTGTTTTCTTCTTATTTATATGTCTATAGAACCTTTTACTATTGGTTTTAATTCCCTTTGCAAGGTCCAACTCTTCATGGCTTTTGGCTTTATCCCTACATGTTCTGACCTCAATAAGAGTAGCTTTCCTTGCTGATCCCTCCTCTCTTCCACTCCTTGTAGGCTTTCTGCTTTTTCTTAATCACCTCTCTGAGGTGTTTGCTCATCCAGCTTGGTCTACAGCTCCTGCCTATGAGTTTTTTCCCCTTTCTTTGGATGCAGGCTTCTGACTGTTTCTACATCCTTAAATCCAGGCCTCCTCCGCCTTTAGATCCACAAGTTCTTCAGTCCAATCCACTTCCCTAATTTCCTTAATTTTTTTAAATTTTTGAAATAAAAAATCCTAGTCACACATCTATTTTTGTTTATCCTTCCATTTAGCTCATGATCACTCGAACCAAGGTTGTCCCCTACAACAATTTCTTCTATGAGTCCTCACTACTCAGCAAAACCAAATCTAAAATGGCATCCCCTCTTGTTGGTTCAGCGATTAATTTTTTTGAGGTAATTGTGTGAGTTAACTGCGATTAATCAACAGCCCTAGAAAATAGTATAAAACAAGTTTTTGTTTTTACCATTAAAATCCATTTTGTATTCTTACATTGATATTTTAAAAACTAGATATGCTGAAATCAGGTTTGGTATGAATCAGAAAACTTTGATTTCTGTTTAATTCTTGAAGGAGTTAAAAGAAGACAATCAAGTATTGTTGGAAACAAAGACAATGTTGGAAGATCAACTAGAGGGGACCCGAGCCCGTTCTGATAAATTACATGAACTGGAAAAGGAAAATCTGCAATTAAAAGCTAAACTACATGATATGGAGATGGTAAGTATTTAAATAGGAAATGACACTCATACCTGTGTTTTTAAGAAAAATATAACTGTTGTGCTTTTAATTTGCATTTGAAAGTTTTAATAATGGAAGGACTTCAAGTTTCAGTGGAAGAACAAAGTAAGGCCTGAGTAGCTTACAATTTTCAGACACACACACAAGATGTTATTTTCTTCAATAGCTTCAGTTCTGCATAAAGAGACATCTATTCCAAAGGGGAAGAACCTACCTAAAAGTTACACAGTATTTAATTAAGTGGATAGAGTCTGTTGAGCAGGAATATAGAACCAGTGATAACAATTAAAACCTTCTTTGAAATAAAGATGGTATCTGGTTGAATATTCATCCAAAATTGAATTGGTTAAAATTTGGAAAGTTGACAAAAACCAGTAAAGTTTTCAAAATATTTTCACAAAAATAGTTTCTGTGTTTTGACCAGCTCTAATCCAGACAATGCAATATTAAGTTTAAAAAAACAAATAATGTTTGTATAACTATTAACATTATTTTTGTTTTTTTTAATGTGTGATTTCTCTTATTTATCTTACCAAAATACTAGTATGCCTTACCAAAACAATAAACACCCTTCTTCCCTTTACTTTGGAGCTGGGGGTGGAGGACTGGCACAGGAGTGAGTAGAGCCACCTCCACAAGCTTAATGCTGACAGAGAGTTCCTCTGTACAGGGGAATTTTTCCATCATTTGCTTCCAGGCACTTTGAAGCCATTGTAATCAGTCCAGAAGTGGCCTTAGTAGACCAGAGAATCCACCTCCGTAAAATAACGGTGTGACGGGTTCGGTCACAGAGACCCCCTTGGGACTGTCAGCTGATGTGCTGGAATGACCTCTGAGCTTGTTTTCCACTGCCAGCTTGGGACTCCAAAACCCTGTCTCGTTGAGCCAGGTCTGGTGCATTTCTCCAAAGCTGCAGACTTTAACCAAAAACTGCTCAGCAAGTCACCTATCTCCAGCACCAAGACACCCAGTTCCCAATGGGATCCAAACCCCAAATTAATCTGTTTTACTCTGTATAAAGCTTATATAGGGTAACTCATAAATTGTCCGCTCTCTATAACACTGATAGAGAGATATGCACAACTGTTTGCTCCCCCAGGAATTAATCACTTACTCAGGATTAATTAATAAACAAAAGTGATTTTATTAAGTATAAAAAGTAGGATTTAAGTGGTTTCAAGTAATAACAGACAGAACAAAGTAAGTTACCAAGCAAAAGAAAACAAAATACGCAAGTCTAAGACTAATACATTTAAGAAACTGAATAGAGGTAAATCTCACCCTCAGAAATGTTCCAATAAGCTTCTTTCACAGACTAGACTCCTTCTTAGTATGGGCCCAATCCTTTCCCCTGGTACAGTTCTTGTTAGTTCCAGCTCAGGTGGTAACTAGGGTATTTCTCATGACTGGCAGCCCACTTTGTTCTGTTCCACCCCCTTTTATATCTTTGGCACAAGGCGGGAATCCTTTGTCTCTCTCTGGGTTCCCACCCTTCCTTCTAAATGGAAAAGCACCAGGTTTAATATGGATTACAGTATCATGTGACATGTTCACATGTACTGTGAGACTTCATTACTCATTGTCTGACACACAGGAAGTCTTACAAGTAAACAGAGCCATTTACAACCAATTGTCCTAGTTAATGGGAGCCATCAAGATTCCAAGCCACCATTAATGGCCCACACTTTGCATAGTTACAATAGGATTTCAGAGTAATACTTCATATTTCTAGCTTTAGATACAAGAATGATACATTTATACAAATAGGATGAACACACTTAGTAGATTATAAGCTTTGTAATGATACCTTACAAGAGACCTTTTGCATAAAGCATATTCCAGTTACATTATATTCACATTCCAAGCATATTTACATAAAGCATATGGAGTGCAACGTCACAAATGGCTACTGAATTTTATATTTTTGTGCATTTTGAGGCAGACTATTTTAAAGGTTCATGTTAATAATTTTTAAGGAGCGTGACATGGACAGAAAAAAAATCGAGGAACTCATGGAGGAAAATATGACTCTAGAACTGGCTCAGAAACAAAGCATGGATGAATCATTACATCTTGGCTGGGAACTTGAACAGATGAACAGAACTACTGAGCTTTCTGAAGGTAAATGAATACTTGCCACTAGTTTTAAATAGAAGTTTGGAATAGTATAGCTAAACAGGGTGTCAGAGTAACACTATGACATAATTTTGAAAATAATGATGCTTGAAGTGGCCTATTTGCATGCAGTTATTTCTACACTCATACGTACAAGGTGAAATCATCTTTAGTAGAGCTTTACACCAGCTGACAATCTGACCCAATTTGTTTAATTTAGAAAACAGCATGAAAATAACTAAAAGACCTTATTTATGTAATGATTTTTGAGATATGCTGAAGAAAAATATGCCATTTTCCCATCTTCTTTGAAAACAACTGGCTAAAATGGACATCTGTTAATGATGATAGTTCCACTTTGAATGGCCTCTGTAGCTTCCCACTTATAAAATTAAAGCTGTGTGCCTCTGGAATCTCCCTCATCTAGTGCAGGATTCTGAGGTTGTAAAGGGGAATGGCCCAAACATGGGCATAGTTTGACTTCTGTATTTGGGGAGGCAGCTCCAATCAGGCCAATGGGGCTGCACATGGGAGGGCAAATTTTGCGTCTGTCCAAGGCTTGCAGTTTGGGGGGCAATGCCCTCCCCCCAAAACTACACTCAGGGGTCCAAACCATCCTTCAGTTCTTTGTGAACCTCTGAAGGTGCGATGAACTCAGTGTGTGTGAAGTGTCCTAGATGCTTCTCTTGTCATTTTTTATTTTGCCCTGTTAGGGCTATTTTTATTTTAGTTACATTGTAGTTAGTCAACTTTTCTTTATTTAAGACAGAAGAAAGGGTGCCTATCCAGCACAGGCATCATCTAGTCCCATACAGAACGGGAGGGTTGGCATAAACCTGTTGATGGTTCTGGACAGATTTGAGGTCTGCTGATCTGTCTCACCCACACCCTGTAGGGATCATCTTGGGAAAATCATGGGAGGCAGGAGAGATTCCCGAAGAC